TTATTTGAGGCCCTCGCCACAAAACATCCAGAAAGTTTGTCATTATGTGAGACAAAAGAAAATCAAAAGTGGAGATTCGCATCTGGAAATGCAGCAGTTGAAAGAATAAATATTATCAGTCACCTGTGATGTCACACGATCAATATAGTGACTGCAATAACTATGTAAAATTTATGTGTAAGATTTCGATTTTTACTATTAAAATTCAACATAAAAAATTTTCTTCACAAGTGTAACTACTGTTTCTTTTTTAGTAAGAGTCACGATCTTTTGCGCAGACATTCTTTGAGACATTATTTATTTCCCTGCAAAATTTGAACCACTGCTTTATAAGAGAATGGAAAAGGATGGTCGTTTGAAAGTTTCTGCTTCGGGTTTTAATGATCGACAATATTACTAAACAACGCAATATAACATACAATAATGCTGTTGGTTTAAGAATTAAAGCAGCGAAATTATTCTTATGGCGGGATTCTTTATTCATAATAATAAATAATATTTAATCATATTGCTGAACTAATCATGGAAGCTTCCTGACATGAAGGAGATTTGAAGATTTGAAAACTTTTTTTTTTCTTTATTTGTTCATTCATATCATTCATATCTATTTGGCTAATACATACATATTTATATTAGACTTGATGATAACAATATTAATGGTTATTATTAATTGATTTTAGATCGCTGGGGTATTAAATTTAAGAATAATTGGTAATAAGAAATATTGAGAAAAGATAAGTGGTAAAAAATAATTACATCTCTTTGTTCCTTTGGTTAAATTTTCTTTATTATTTATTTACATTATGCATGTAATTACTAAATTTTAACAACTGACTGACTACTAATAATAAATTCTTTGTTGTTTAATTCTTTATAGCAGCAAATTAGATTTAACATTTATATTTATATATTTTTTTTCTATTGGTAATTCTTTCAATAAAGTTTAGAAACAAAAAATATTGAAGTGCATAAATAAGGTGTTATTCTTTAAACAATTATGAAAAAATTCTTTAACTGCCTCTGTTATTTAAACATTATAATTATTTATTAATAAAATATACATAATATCATAACTTATTTTTGATAATTTAATTATTGTCCCATTGATCATTTAATTTTATAATTA